TATTTTTATATGTAAAGTCTCTTCTTCGTCTTGAAGAAGTACTGAGACATTTAACGTTTAGTGCTACCACTACTACTTCTCAAATCATTGGCTTACTGTTCGGTACTTTTGCCGGACTTTCTTCAAGACAACGAATGGATCTTTCTCCAACGGCATTGGTTTGTCAGTCTTTTCTTAGCGAAAAAATACAAGTCATTCATTCCGAATCGAATCGCGCTTATCTGTGTATGAAAGATCTTATGTGAGCTATCACTACAGGCATAAAGCGTTCCAAACAAGCCAAACAGTTCTATATATCTCACCTATAGGCTTTTTCAGCTAGTATCTCTAATGTTACTAATACATTTGCGTCTCTTACAATAACTTACATCAACAAATTGGATCATCTATTGAATGAGGATAGTCAGGGATTCTCTTTAAATGATACGGAATTTTACATTACCTTGGGTTTTGTTTTTGAAGGTAATTTGTATCAGATTATCTTACGACTCATGAATGATGTACCTCGAATGTGTCTTGGCCGGCAGTCATGTTTGGATTATGATTCTATTCCATGTGTAGTGTGTGGCTCACGTACGATGTATACAGTGTTGAATTTGCATGATCAACCCCTAGCTAATGATTTCAAAATGCATATAAAAGAATCCAAAAACTCTAAAAGATTGCCAGTACGTTTAGTACGATGTTCCATCTGCCATCATACGTAATTATCATATATTCTTGATCGAAAGTATCTGTTCAATCATTATTTATATCGAAGCATTACAAATAATACTTTAAAGACTTATTTTGCATGGTCAGCTGAGAAGGCTACTAATGAAAGTGTGATTACCAATGAGACTGCTTGAAATCGCATACAACGACGGAGGTCAGTTGAATGAGTTTTTTAAGTATAGATGGAAAACTGTAGGTATTGATGCAGTCAAGAATCTAGTCGATATTGCAAGTGCATCGGGTCATACTATTTATACTGGCTTCTGGAGTATTGATTCGCTATCTAGTTCATCTTCGTTGAAGTCTGTGAACAGGTGTGGGTGTGGATGTAGACGAAATTAATGCCTACACACTCACACCCATTCGTCCTTTCATCGATACGTAGACCTTTACTACTGATTTCTCACTTTTCAATGAAGAATTATTATTACCATTTTAGATTCGTCATCATTCATTTATGTTTGATATGGCAATTTTGATTGACTATAATAATACTAATCAATCATTATAGATTATTCGTAGTGAAGCCCTAAAAAGTTGGAAAATAGTATTAACATGTAATTTACAATTTCAGGCTCAGCTAGTCGATAATGAAGTCGTAGAATATGAAAAGAAGCATCCAAACGTATGAAAAATTGCCTTGAATATACCTGCATTTCTCGTTCATTCTAATCTTTGTAAAATGTTAGCTGAAGCAGAACAATATAATAGTACGATGGCATTTCATTTTCGCTCATTGACTATGTCTGGAAATGATTCTATTTCACTAAAATGTTTTACTTCACTGCTAAGGCATCATTCTCAATATACCAATAATCTGATCAACGTAGATGAAAAGTTTGATATCACATCTTGTTCTCGTTTCATGCATTGCTATCCAACTATTGAGTACAAAATAGATCGGCATATAATCAGTGGTACTGTCTAGAAATGGACTCCTATTGGTCCCATTGTCAAATAACAGTATACATCTTGATCTGAAATATTAAATCGTAAACTACAAATTTGTGCACTTATACTACTAAGTGATTTTGCTCATGGCCCAAGTTTTCAGCATAATATCAACGTTGAGCAACTAAAAATAGTTAAAGAAAAAATTCAATGATTGCCTCAACATGATCTTCGTGATTTTACTGTCGCAAGTGACAAAATTGCAATGGCTATACGATTGTGGAAAGAAATAATAGAGCAATGAATGATGTAAGAATGTAATAGAAAGCTATATTACTCATATATTCGAATCAGTACATAGGAGTTTATAGTATTGACATTAGTTTACTTCAACAAAACTAATATGAACCTAATCAACTATTTGGATTTTTTATCTTAGTCGTCAAAAAGTGACGTTACCTACAAAGAACGTTATAGCCAGTTCAGATTCACAATGAATTCCATATTCACCTTTGTTTGATCATATTTTTCCTAATGCATCTAACCTCCTTCAGTGCCTCTTTTGTCTTGTCACGCTCAGTTATCAATAAGAGATAAACCGTTTTGATGCATACTCTTTGTTTATACACAATATAACACATGCTATTGTTATCAACTGCAACATAGAATATAAATAATTGAGTGCTTATTCCATATATTTTTTTGATCGAAATAAAATGTAGAACTGCGATTTTAAGTGCAAAAAGAAGAAAATTAACAGAGATTGAACTACATATTTCAGATTTTTCTAAAAAGTTTCTGACAGTATTAAACTTTTCTTTTACAAAGTTAGTTGTACCGATTAAAGATCCAAATAATTACATAAAGCTCACATTTTTAGTCTAATGAAACTTACTCACGAACAGAATATCGACTTGATCGATGCGTGACACTTGAAGATCTGCTTCGTAAATCACTCTATGAACATGCATATTTTTCTGCAAGATCTCAACTGAATTTATAGAAAAAATTTTCCAAAAAGTTTAACATTTTTCTGTAATTTTTGATAAAAATCTATGTTGTAGATTGCTTTTTAAGGCTTGAAAAAATGTATAGGGATTGTTGAAAATACTGGAAATCAATACATCTTTATCTTCTCGTTTCGACGGTGAAAATCCTACATTGTACCTTATTTCAATCAAAAGTTATCTGCAAACTATTGAATCTTTTCAGAAAATTATTGATTTAATAGCAGCGATAAACATATTTACTGAACAGAAAGATGTAGTCAGTTTCTCAATTCGCTTACTATCATTGCAAAGACAAAATGGAAACAGAAAAATAGAATTATAGAGTACATGCATATTCATGAAACAATATTACAGAATAATGACATAACGCAGCGCTAATTAGAAATGAATTATTTGTCAGAAAGTTCTGATATACATGTAGCATACTCGGGTGAGTTGTGCGCTCGCTATTGCTACCCTTTCTTCCTACAATGGATTTCGATGTCTTCAACTTTTCCGGATCAATGACGAAAACAACTGATGAAGTCGTTTTATTAACTATAGATTTACGTTATTGTATCTCCTTAAATTTACATATTGTTTTGAAATCGCTTTAAAACTATAACAAAAATCACCGCTAGACTCAGCATGGTTAATTACTCTTGTTCACATCAATGTCTGTATGAGCCCACGTTAATTGGCCAAAGTCACAGATCTTAAAACATCTACATAGTTCGTGAACGAAGCAAGACAGAGATATTAGTTTTACGTAGATCGAACGAGCATAACTTTTCACATTGAACAGTCATGCCAAAACCCAAGTTGAACTGAAGAATGCATACGAAATATTCTTTGTCAAAATATCTATCTATGATCGAGATTTCATCTGATTGGTCAGTTGCTAAATCAATCAAATCTGACATGCTTGCATGACTCCATATGTCTTCGTTTTAATGATGAAAACTGCAGCTCTCTCTCCCTTCTTCTTAACAAAAGTTATTCGAAAAATAGATGCGGTCATCGTTTTATTGGGCAGACAGTTCGGTACAACTGCAGAAGAACAACACCCCCTTTGATTATCATATACAGAACAGAAAAATATCTATTGGCGTATCCATATAACCACTATCTGAGAAAAATAAAATGTCAAATATAGATGTCATATAAGCACAGTTCATATTGACGTTGACGCTGACACTCATAAGAAAGAAGTAATACATGATAGCTGTTGAATCTATTGATTAAGAGGATGGTTGAATCTATTGATTAAGAGGATGGTTGAATCTATTGATTAAGAAGATGGTTGAATCTATTGATTAAGAAGATGGTTGAACAATTTCATATAATTCTATGATAAAGAGAAATGATAAGAAATAACGAAGAAAGATTCTGCTATAATACATTAAAAAATCTCTCAATTAAAATACAAAAGATGAATTTTTTAAGAAGACGTCTTTCTGTTGAAGAAGGGCAAATCGTATATAAAACTGATCTTTTTGTTGCACTTTCCTAAAAAAAGTCCTCAGTATACAATAGCAACTTAAAGTGAAGTAGAATGAGTTTTAATATTGCAGACCTTGATAATTTGAATACAAGAATAATTCATGAGTTAACTATAACACAAGATATGTTATAAGTACAACAATACATTCAGATGAATGAAGAGCGTACATATCTCTAGGAAATGATGTTAATTATACTCATTTAACTGTCAATCATCCTGTCGGTTTTGTAGATCCAACAACCGGCGTATATACACAAAATATAGAAAACACCTGGATGCAAGTAAAAAGAAAACAAGAAAAAAACAAAGTGAAATACGTCGAATTTTATTATTAACTTATTTAGAGGAGTTTATGTGGAGATAGGAATTTGGAGACAAGCCATTTAAGAATTTAGTATTACAAATCAATGCATTATATCCTGTTCTCTAATTTTTTTTTGAATAAAATTATCTTGTTCTTGTCTGACATCTATATTTGACATTTTATTTTTCTCAAATAGTGGTTATATGGATGCGCCAATAGATTTTTTTTCCTGTTCTGTATATGATACACAAAGGAGTTGTCGTTCTTCTGCAGTTGTACCCTGTATCAGATCCTAAAAGTTTGATCTAGTTTAAATGTATTTAAACTATAATCAATTATTGAGTGGAGGAACCTGGTAAGAACAGTAACAATTATGCAATTTAAAACTTTCATAACAAAATGAACTTGAAAGAAAGTAAATGTTTTTTTCCTTGATTTAAAGTGAAATAAAACTTCAAAAGTCTATCTACCCGTAAAATGAATATATCTTGGCATTGCAATCAAGACTATTAAAAAAGGAATTTAATGATTTTCTTTTTGATGAATTTTACTGATAAATTTGTAGTTGACACAAAAAACATCTTATCAATAAAGAAAATTAATATTTCGCCGGTAAAACATTTTTTTCAAAATAACCATGATTTATAATATTCCCTGCTGGATAATAATTTGCAACTATATAAACTTCTCGTTCATCAGCTGATAGAGCAACTCCAATGCCTATTTTTTGTGTTGATTTCCATACCATTTGTGTAAAATGTCCTGTTTCTTCGGAGTAATATGGACGTTTATAACTGTATAGTTCAATTTCATCATACCAACTTTTTGTTGCTTCTCTTGCACTAACTGGAACTTTACCATGAGAAATCCATTGCATATAAAGATTTTCTCCTAAAGATTCATTTCCAAATCTATTTCCGCTATGTTCAAATCTTGATGTTGCTGCTAAATATTCAGCATATTTTTGAGCTATATAATTTAATCGTTGACTGATTGTTAATGGTGATGCTGAATGGCGTGCACGATAATAATTATGTAATTGTACCATATTAGAAACAAATTTTGCATATGTTGTTTTCCATGATTCGACTTGATCTATAAATAGATAAAACAAAAAGAAAGGAAAAACTTTTTATTAAATAAAAATTATATATGAACGTACGATGTTCATGTGTTCGAGCATGTTTTATTGCCACATCAGCATCAAGTTTTGATGGACGTTCATATCGATGTCGTGCTTTCCGAACATTTTTTTTATCCTTTTCATGATCTGGTAACGATAAACGATCAACTATTTTAAGCAATATTTTATCCCTAACAAAAAAAAAAGAATTTTTAACCTTGAAAAAAAATGTAGCATCGATATTTACATTTGAAGTTATCGAGAAGGTTAAGCGTAAGAATATTTTATTCGTTTCGTTTTTATGTACACTATCAAACACCTTTGCAATATGATGTTTATATAATTTACCTATTCTGTCGTTACATGACATGACGTCTCGTTACTTCGATGTATGACTTGGATAAGTACAAAATGAATCATACTAATGAGATGTAAACTATTCATACAAACTACACTCGATAGTTTAAAAAAGAACAACTTACCATAAATATTGACGAGAATGCAAGAAAAAAATGAGAAACGCAATGAACAAAATCATTTCATACAGATTCACAATAAAGAATAATCAAATAATTTAGATTTAAAGTTGTCCATGTTTCTTTGAAAATTCATGTAATATTTTGAATTATATAATTCGCTAGATTTATACTCGAAAATATGAAGTAATATGATACTTAATAATTTGTGATACTGCTTCAAAGGATCTATTAAAATCACCGTGCGAATTGAAAAAAAAACAGTTTGCTTTGGTAGAAGAATATAGAACTATTTACATCATTTTTGAAAGCACAAGCAAAATCATGCTATGAAGTATTTATAGTTGGCATAATAGTCATTCCAAATGCAGTTGTTCCGTCACCTTGACCATGAATAACATCAACACGTGATGATCTAACTAAACAATGACATTTCAGTGTTCGTAAAAGAAAATCAATTTTTTTACGTAAATGACGAACTGATCCAAGACACACAAATGGCAAAAATAATGTCAAAAAATAATACAAATAAAACAAATATAAAGCACGTTCTGTTGCAGCAAATGTTTTAGAATATAAAACTTGAACACCAATAACAATAAATGGTGGAGCATTCATAATAACATATAGACAAGCTATTGAAAGTAATTGTACAACCATTCGATGTTGTTTTCGTCGAGAAAAAGTTTGTCCTTGTATATGACGTTTATGTCGAATAACTCGAAGTAATAAGGCTAAACTAAATGCAACAATTATAATACATGGTAATACACTATGTATAAACATATCATAAGCATTCAGAAGAAATGTCGTACGTTTAAAACATGGTGAACCACAAAGAATTTGTCGATAATCAAATATTTGATCACAGGGGTAAAAAAATATTGTATACATATAGAAAATAAATGGATAAATTAAACAAATTATAATAGGAACATAATGACCATAGAATTTTTGACGTGGTAAACGAAAAAATTGTGAAGCAAAAACAAGTATATGACGTTCAATAGATGCCCATGTCATAAGAAGCATTCCATTTGCATATAATACATAATCAATATACATCCAAAAGTAACAAAAAGATGATGATGATAGATGAACAATACCGTCTTGTAAATAGTTTAATGTAATTGAAAGATCAATTATAACACTGAGAAGGCTAACAATAAGCATTACAATAACAACATGATTAGCTAACAAATGACGTTGTGTTCGTGATACGAACATATGATGTAAGACAAAAATAGCACAGAGAATAGATGGTGTTTGAAGAATCAATAAAATCCAAAATTTTATTGAACGTGTTAATAATGTTTCATATATTGATGTCGATGACATATTGTTACTAAATTATGATGAGCTAGATATTTTGTTTTTGTGTTCCTTTCGGAGATAATCAACAAAAATGAACGGCGAAATAGTTTAACTCAGGTATAGGAAATTGTTTTTAAGGTATTCAGAAAAAAACACTATGTAAAAATTTCAGTGAAAAAAGCTAGTAGATTTCAATACCTTAATTGTTAAGCGAAACCACTTATAAACACTTAGAGTATAATTAGGAGAACCTCCCGTTTCTTTCCAGTGTTAGTCGGGAACGACTTAAGGAAAAATTATGAAATGTTCAAGCCGAATATATCTCGATAAGTAGAGCACAAGTTTATTTCGTAGGAATGACATTTTGAGGAAAAAAGTTCAACCAAAGTGCTCATAAAGAAAATTGAGTCTGATCGAACATACTGTGTGGAAGAAAACTTTGTCTTTTTGTTCAAAATTTGATTTTGAGAAAAGCGTAAAACAAACTTTTCTCTATGTATCAAGACTTTTATCTTCAAATAAATTAATCAATAACTGGTCGTATTTAGTGGTGTCAGATATATTCGATCTATGTTCTCAGCATCTTGGGAATGAGAAATAATCATTATGATTAAGAGAATTTTACACACAAAGAATAATCGCAGCATGAGCTGCGTTTAATAAAAGTACTAACTAACAAGGAAGAGCTTTCAGCAATATTTTAATCGTTGGTAAGCGGTTATTTTACTTAAAAATTAAAAATCAAGTCATTTTAAATTAGCTTACTTTCACTGTTGTATTCAGTGCGAGAGTTGAGAAAAACTGTGCCTGTATAAAGATCCGACTGACTCTCCCAGAGTTTTATATCGCCCTTCAAAAAGAGAAAACCTGGATAAAGCACTACATACTTCGCTGAAACTTTCACATGGGAAATAACAGTTATGAAGCATATTCTATTTTGTTCACATTTGTTAATATATTGACAATTCTCTCGTCATATTTTTGTAGATAAATAATATTAAATACGCAGGTAACGAAGCATAAAATCGAACTCTCTACGTGCAATATGTTACAGTTTTGCCTAAGAAAACAAAATGTATACCACTGCCCACGTATTAGATGCTGAAAATTAAGTTGTATGAATGCTTCTATTGAAAATCATTTATATTACATATATCATTTCTGACAAAATGTTTTATTCACATAATTCAAACAAAACTGCTCACTTATAAGTAATAAATCGAGACAGTTTATGATATTTACTTTGACAGTGAGAAAATTTTTATAAAAAGAAGTAATTTTTTTCTCAAAACAAAAGAGCATCATCTTTCTGCAAGACTTCCATGGTAACTATTCAATAGAAATAAGATATTAGAGAAAGCTGTTACCGTAATCCCTGCGAGATTGAAAAGTGAAACACGATGAATTCATTTGATCGCTACCGAGAACCTACGCCGGTATATCGGTTGGTTTGATGTGTGCTATACCAGCAATTTTTTTGGAAGTGTTGTGTCGTGGTGTATTGTTTCAAAACATATAAATATTTTCGAAGTCTGCTGAAAATAACAGAGTTTCATCGTCTTCGATGCACCCTAATAATGTTGATGCATCTGAGCCACCTGCAATAGATACAGAGCCTAAATTGGACCTACTCATGAGATAAACTTTTTATTAAAGGTAACGCTGAAAAATTTTTTATTAGTGAAATATATTCTGAAATTTCTTTTTTCTCAATGAATTTGAACTCTTTCTAATAATAAACTCGAATTTTGGGAGAAAACATCCTCTGCAATCGTTTCTAGTTGGAACTGACATTCGCCAGCGCTATCGCCGGTTCTTACAAGTACCGCGCTATATCGACAATACTTCGAATAAATGTGCGAAATGGGTCGTATTTTCTGTTATAATTCGATCATCTGAGTAAAAGGTTTTATATAAAAGAGCAGTGCTTCGTCTCTATTATTTTCTAATGATGCTCAAATATTCATGAACGTATGTTTGGTAGCATGCTTTCGAAATAAAATGTTGGTTTTACTTCTAAAGACGCAACAAAAATATTTGAATTTAATTTAAATTTGGTTGTAAATCTAATAATCTTTCTAAAATGTAAATTGATCATCCCTACTACGTTTACATCCACTGATTTCTATTGAAATTAAAAATTCTTTGATTAAGATTTGCTTGAATATGACAGTTGTTATATCAAATAAAGTCAAAGGAAAATGAAGGTAAACTAGATAAAGACGCATCGAGTTCTTATTTAACACGATATATTTTTGCACGTCCTGATGACACACTTTTAAATAATAAAAATAAAAGCGTGAGATTAACAAGAGGCTGTCTTTTATTTCAACACAACTCAAGAAAACTCTTCTTTCAAGACACTTCCAGAATAAATTGCAAATTATTTACGCTCACTATTTCACAAATATTGGTGAAACTCACATATTGCAACTGAAATGAACTTAGAAAATCGTTTTCAAGATTTTAGAAGCGATGATCGAAATCAAGAAAACATCTCTATTGAACCATTGCAAGGTTCTGTTACAATGTAACGTCAACCTGCTCAAGTAAATACATGGTTAAAACATGTACCAAAAATGAAAATTGTTCATATTTAAGGGTACCCCCCCCCCCCCCCTGTTTTGACCATTTCTGGATCTCGAAGATGGCGAGGCCGATCGAAATGAAATTTTTACCACAAATAGAA